TAGCACATTGCCAGGGTCTCCAAGGATGTTGCTTTGTCTTAAGGGCAAGGCTGATCTTCCACAAAAAGGACCAGGAATGGACTTGACTGCTTCCTCATTTCCTCTTTCTTTCCAACTCCAATTCTCAATTCTCATTCCTTCTCTCTCTCTCTCTCTCTCTCTCTCTTTTTCTTTTCTTTGAGAAGGGGTCTTGCTCTGTCTCCCATGCTGGAGTGCAGTGGCACAATCACAGCTCTCTGCAGCCTCAACTCCTGGGCTCAAGAGATCTTTCTGCTTCACCCTCCCAAGTACCTGGGACTAGAGGTGCACACCATCACACCCTCCTAAGTTTTTGATGTGTTTTGTTTGTTTGTTTGTTTGTTTTGGTACAGACAAGGGCTCATCATTTTGTCCAGGCTGGTCTCAAACTCCTGGCCTCAAATGATCCTCCTGCCTCAGCCTTCCAAAGTGTTGGGATTATAGGTGTGAGCCACCGAGCTGGCCTCCAACTCTAGTCCCCTTAAAACTCTCTCCTAGGGCACTGAGAGTGCCTCCTGCGTAGCTTTGTGGATGTGGCTTAAATCTTGGGTTGCAAAGCAAAAATTTTGGAGTTCCCAGCTGGTGTGCCCAGCAGCAATCACAGGTGGGCCTGAAAATCTGCTCCTTCACATCTGTGATCAACTTGCACTCAAAGTTTCATATCCAAGCAAACTGGGACAGTTGGTCACCCTGTCCTCAATCTGAAGCCAGGTCAGAATGCTCTGCAAAAGTCATGCTTCTCCGTATGCAAAGGGGGGGGGGGAGAAAAACCCCCAAACTTCACCTCCACCTTTTTCTAGTTACAAAGAAGGCAAATTTCAGTTGGAGGGTGGCCCTTCCCTCTGTGACTTCATCCCTCTGCTCTCTCTTCCTCCCTGGGGTTGTGAAAGGCAGCATCAGGACTATTTTATTCCTCCTAAAAAAGTTGCAGCTGGGCATGGTGGCTTACACCTGTAATCCAAGCAATTTGGGAGGTCGAGGCAGGTGGATCATGGGGTCAGGAGTTTGAGACTAGCCTGACTATGTTAGTGAAACCCCATCTCTACTAAAAATACAAAAAATTAGCCGGGTGTGGTGTCGGGCACCTGTAATCCCAGCTACTTGGGAGTCTGACAGGAGAATCGCTTGAACCCAGGAGGTGGAGGTTGCAGGGAGCCAAGATCGTGTCATTGCACTCCAACTCGAGTGACAGTGCAAGATTCCGACTTGGAAAAAAAAAAGTTTCATCTTTTCTCATTGTAACAATAATACATGATCATTGTAGATGCTTTAGACAATAAAAAATGTAAAGGAGTAAATTAAATTCACCAATAATTTCACCAGCCAGGGTGATGATACTGAGGATGAGGATGATGAAATTAGCACTTCTTGACTGTTTTATGTGGGTGGTGCTGTTCTAAGCTTTTTACAGGTAGTAAAACAATCATCAAAATAATCTTTTTTTTTTTTAACTGGTGGGAAATCAAGGCAATGGGAGTTTAAATAAATTGTCCAAGGACTCAAGATTGCTGTTTGATTTTCAGACCTGTATTTTATTTATTTATTTGAGCTGGAGTTTTGCTCTTGCTGCCTAGGATGGAGTGCAGTGGTGCGATCTCGGCTCACTGCAACCTTTGCCTCCCGGGTTCAGGCAATTCTCCTGCCTCAGCCTCCTGAGTAGCTGGAATTTACAGGCATGTGCCACCATGCCCGGCTAATTTTTTGTATTTTGGTCAGGCTGGTCTTGAACTCCTGACCTCAGATGATCTGCCTGCCTTGGCTTCCCAAAGTGCTGGGATTGCAGCCGTGAGCCACTGTGCCCGGCCTCAGATCCCTATTTTAAACTGCACACCGTGCCTCAAGGTAGCAGAGATCTTCGCTGGGACTCTGCCTTCAGCAGTTCCTAAATTGTATCCTGTCAGAGCCCAGCGTCATTTGGGCCCCACTCAAGTGTCCTAATGAAAAATGGATGACTGTGGTCTTTGCTGCCAACTCCCTGATACTGTTCAGGACAAGGAAACAGACCCCCCACCTCATTTTTCTTGATCAGTTTTACTTCCAAGCTCTGTTTTCCTAAATCTTTGTAGTCGCGGCCACATTTATAAACTCAAATGTGGCATTAAACGGCATCTAATTTGACACTAAATAGTATGCTTAGTGGTTTTTGGTAACATGAAACTGTGTTTCTTGGGGTTCTGAAAAGAGCCTGCTGACCTCGCATCCCCCTAGCAGGAGGCTGGAGGATGGGGCCTCCCTGCAGGGCCTGGAACATCCCAGGGGCTTGTTCTGGGACCCATCCTCCTGCTTCCCCTGCTCCTTTCAGGCCCCCCTGCCACCTGCCCGGCCTGGGGGATGAATGGGAGCTGTCAGCCTCTGGGCAGAGTTATGGAGGCCCACGGGCTGCTGGTTGCCTAAGGAACCGGCCCAGGCGCCTCTCATCCGTCAGGCGTCCTTGCTCCCAAGTCCCTCCAGCTCCCACTTGAGAGCCTTTGTCTCTCCGCGGACACCCCAGGCCACAGGCCGAGGTTAAGATCCTGCCCCTGGTTCTGTTGTTCTCAGTGGGCACCGCCTTCTCGGCCCCCTCCCTGGCCCAGATGACAGCACTTAGTGACCTTTCACACGAGCACTTCAGGCCTTTGTGTGGGGCAATTGGTCTTCCTGCTCTTTCTGTGAGCAGACACGGATGGCAGCATTACAACTGTCAGGCCGCCAGACGCAGCGGGAGCCATTGGGTGGCAGGGCAGCCCGGGTCCACACGGCGGCAGTCACAGCCGCAGCAGGGGTGGTTAGGGGAAGCTGGGACCACAGTCGGTCCCCTCATGCCCGGCTCGGGGTGACTCAGGCCTCTCTGGTGAGCAGCACCCCAATCTCCAAGGAGGAGCTGTGCATATTCAGGGCCACCTGCCTGTGCAGAGGAAGGCTACGTGTCCCAAGGTGATTCCGGCCCACTTCTGTGGACACAGACCCAGGGCTGCTCCTGGGTATGATTTAGGTGTGTGACTCCACAAGGAAGTCATCTCATCTCTTTATGTATTTATTTTTCTCTCTATATATTTTTTGAGACAGCATCTTGCTCTGTTGCCCAGGCTGGAGTGCAGTGGCTGTGATCAGGGCTCACTGCCGCCTCAACCTCCTGGGCTCAAGCAATCCTCCCACCTCAGCCTCCCAAGTAGCTGGGACTACTGGTGTGTGCCACCATGCCAGGCTAATTTTGTTGTTGTTGTTGTAGAGATAGGGTTTCACTGTGTTGCCCAGGCTGGTCTCAAACTCCTGGGCTCAAGTGATCCTCCCTCCTTGGCCTCCTAAAGTGCTGGGATTATAGGCATGAACCACTGTGTCAGGCCTATCTGATCTCTCAACAGTCAGCGGCATAATTTTCCTTGTTCTAGGTTTAGTAGGAAGGAAATATAAAATATGTTCAGCTCCCTGGAGAAAAGGCCTATGTAGAATCCAGACCACAGTAAATATTAACTATAGTACTGCTATCGACTACGCTCCTGCTATGATGATTACTACTTGCAGAATTTCTGAGCCTTGTATCTGCTGATGCTCTGATGGAATATTAAAACTAAAAGAAAGGAAATAGAATAATACAGCCCATATAATTCCAGCTACATGAAAAATAAAATCATATGTTCCAATTATATATGCATAGAATAAACAACTGGCGGAAAACGCAATTCACTGTTAATTTTTATTTCCGGGACATAGAGTTTCTTTTTCTCTCAATTTCAGTATATGTTTGAAATTGACGTGAACCTGCATGTCTTTTATAATCACAAAGAAGCAAGTAAATATTTTAAAAATATGCTCATTTGGGAGAGTAGGGGATATAGTTAATGAGTAAAAAAATTAGAATAAATAAGACCTAGTATTTGCTACCACAACAGGATGACTATAGTAAAAAACGATTTAATTGTATATTTTAAATAACTAAAAGAGTATAACTGGATTGTTTGTAACACAAAAGATAAGTGGATACCCTATTTACCCTGACATAATTATTATACATTGCATGCCTGTATCAAAATATCTTGTGTAATCATATACACACCTATTATGTACCTACAAAAATTAAAAATAAAACATTTTTAAATGCTCATTTATATTTTGTGTGATTGCAAAAGATCCTAGGAATAGTCTTGATTTCTCTTCTGTTTGCTTGAAAATGAAGCAGTTGCTGCCTTCCTGGAATCCAAGGGTAGATTGTTTGAGAGAGGAAGTTTGACCTGACATACACATCCACCTTCAAGAAATGACTTCAAAAAGGGTCAAGAGGCTGGTGTGGTGGCTCATGCCTATAATCTCAGCACTTTGGGTGGCTGAGGCGGTGGCTCACCTGAGGTCTGGAGTTCAAGAACAGCCTGGCCAACATGGTGGAACCCCATTTCTGCTAAAATACAAAAATTAGCGGGGCATAGTTGTGCGCACCTGTAATCCCAGGTACTCAGGGAGGCTGAGGAGGGAAAATTGCTTGAACCTGGGAGGCAGAGGTTACAGTGAGCAGTGATCAGTCTGGGCAACAGAGCAAACTCCAGCTAAAAAAAAGGGTGGGGGGGCCGGGCGTGGCAGCTCATATCTGTAATCCCAGCATTTTGGGAGGCCGAGGTGGGTGGATCATGAGGTGAGGAGTTCGAGACCAGCCTGGCCAAGATGGTGAAACCCCTGTCTCTATTAAAAATACAAAAATTAGCCAGGCGCAATGGCAGGCACCTGTACTCCCAGCTACTCGGGAGGCTGAGGCAGGAGACGTACTTGAACCTAGAGGGTGAAGGTCGTAGTGAGCTGAGATGATGCCACTGTACTGCAGCCAGGTAGACAGAGTGAAATTCCGTTTCAACACACAAAAAAAAGGGACAAGAAAGGAACCAGAGTTTGCTCTCCTTCTACCTAAGGCGATGAAAGGCAGACATGGCATATCTTCTGTGCCTTGTTCTGCCTCGGAATAATCTAGCAAGTTTGTTTTGCTCAGCCAACCTTTTTCTTTCTAATTTGGTGCTAAGGGAATGGGCAGAATAAGTCCTGTGTGAGTGCAGACGCCACAACCTTGTGCAGTTGCCATTCGTGCCTCCAGCATGTGGTTCCATTGCTTCATGGCCAGGAGGACCCCTCTGCCCAAGGACACCCAAGAAGCACATAGTGAAGCACGCACGGAGCTCTGGTAGGTGTCGCTTTCATTTCTGGTCAGTAAGAAACCTTAGCCCTTCTGCTGTTTCAGGCAACCCTTAGTAAACTCACAGGCATTTTTTTCCTTTTTTTGAGATAGAGTCTCCCACTATCCCCCAGGCTGGGGTACGGTGGCGTGACCTTGGCTCACTGCAACCTCCACCTCCTGGCTTCAAGTGATTCTCGTGTCTCAGCCTCCCAATTACAGGCACGTGCCCCATGCCCAGCTAATTTTTGTATTTTTTTTAGTAGAGACAGCGTTTGACCATGTTGGCCAGGCTGGTCTCAAACTCCTGATCTCAGGTGATCTGCCTGCCTTGGCCTCCCAAAGTGCTGAGATTACAGGCATGAGCTAGTGCGCCTGACCAGAATTTTTTGTATTTAGTAGAGACAGGGTTTCACTATGTTGCCCAGGCTGACCTTGAACTCCTGAGCTCAGGAAATCCACCCGCCTCGGCCTCCCAAAGTGCAAGGATTACAGGAGTAAGCCACTGCCCAGCCGCATTTTAAAAATCTTCATCTCATAGATCCTCCTCAGTTTTCTAAGACTGTAGATGGGCGATTTGAAATTAACTGAAATCAAAACGTCTCGTTATAAGTGTCATAGTAATACCATGCAAGCCTGTAAGGCTGTCATCGGGGAGTATTTTTCTTGGTTACACTTGATATTGGGCAGGTATCAAGGCTCCCAGACACTTCAGTTTGTCCAACCTTAGAGCCTATGTCTACATTGATTAACAAATTGCTCAAAAGAGAGCCACAGGCCACTGCAGATAGCTTTGTCTGGTGACAGAGGAGTTGATCCATGCCCTGCCTTTCCCTCACAAACTCACCTCTCTCAGCCTTTTTCCTCAATTGGATTGGTTTGAAATCCGATTGCAACATATTTATAGATGATTGATCTATTCTTTTCAAGGGGCAAATCAAACTCAGAAAATCTCTGTCAACACAAGAAGGCAATGAAAACAAGGGCGAGAAATTCTTTAAATCCAAAAGTAGGACTTTGAGGAAAGGCAAGCTGGTGAAGCAAGCAGTGCAGGGACCCAGGCTCATCAGGACGGTGTGAGAAGCCTGTCCTGCAGAGCCCCAGACACCACGGACTTATGACATCTTTTCCTTCATTTTGGCCTCAGAAAATCTCATCTTCTCCCTTTAAAGTCATTTCCCAAATGCTCACCAAATCCCCTCCAGAAGTTATTTTATTTTATTTATTTATTTATTTATTTTTAATTTTTTTTTTTTGAGACGGAGTTTCGCTCTTGTTACCCAGGCTGGAGTGCGGCGCGATCTCGGCTCACCGCAACCTCCGCCTCCTGGGTTCAGGCAATTCTTCTGCCTCAGCCTCCTGAGTAGCTGGGATTACAGGCATGCACCACCATGCCCAGCTAATTTTTTGTAATTTTTAGTAGAGACGGGGTTTCACCATGTTGACCAGGATGGTCTCGATCTCTTGACCTCGGTATCCACCCGTCTCAGCCTCCCAAAATGCTGGGATTACAGGCATGAGCCACTGTGCCCAGTCCCAGAAGTTTTTTTTTTTTTTTTTTTAAATAAAATAGAGATTTTATTGTAAAAGTAATTTTTGTTAATTGTAAAAAAAAAATTCAGTAAGTACCAAGAAAAAAATAAAAATCACCAAGTCCCACCATTCAGAGAAAAATACTGTTAATATTTGGCTGACATTTTCTCAAACATTTCTCTTTTTACATATTGAATTCTACAAATTGCTATAGGCTTCTTTATGTCTCTCCATCTCTCTAATCAACGAAAGCTCCAGAGCATTATTTCAAATCATTTCAGATTATTTCAAAATCAGATCATTAAAATGAGTGTATGGTATTTGATTGTAAGTTCATAGCAAAGTTTGTTAAACTCATCCCATTAGAATGATCATTTTGGCTAATTCCTATTTGGTTTTAATATTAAAAGCAACCGGCCAGGTAGAGTGGCTCAAGCCTGTAAACCCAGCTCTTTTGGAGGCTGAGACAGGAGGATTGCTTGAGCCCAGGAGTTTGAGACCCGCCTGGGAAGCAAAGCTAGACACTGTCTCTACAAAAATTTTTAAGAATTATCTGGGTGTGGTGGAGTGCATCTGTAGTCCCAGCTGCTCAGGAGGCTGAGGCAGGAGGATCACTTGATCCCAGGAGTTCCAGACTGCAGTGAGCTATGATTGTCCCCTTGCACTTCAGCCTGGGCCACAGAGTGAGACTGTCTTGGGGAAAAGAAAAGAAAGTTTGTGATGAATGTCCTGATACAAAGACCTTTAAGCTCTTTTACTAAGCCTATGTAGAATAAATTATTTGAAGAAAGATTGCTGATTCAAAGAGTAGGTTCATTAATCATTTATATAATATATAATACATTGTGTATTATGATATAAGTATTATGATATAAAATAGAAATACATAAAATTTGTAAGGAACTTTGATGGACCCAAAAAGTTTAGATATATTCAGTCCTTGGGCCTTGAACAGAGGTGAGCATGTCTTTTAGATACTATACTTAATTTTTATATTCAAGCCATGGATACTTGAAATTCCCAGGGGACCCACTCACAATAAGGGCCTCAACCCCTCTAAACCTTGCAACAGACCTTCTATCCCCCAGACCTCTTAGGAGAACTTCCTTTTCGGTGGGGAGCAAAGAAGGAAACAAGCCTTCATGAACAAAGAAGGAAGGAGGAACTGGCTTGTATTGAAAAACAGCTCTGCTGGGCTCCAGGATGGTGGCATAAATCTCCACCCAAGGAGGGGAAAGCTGCCTTTCCCAGGAGTGAAGTTTAGGCCTCCAGAGCTGAATTCTTAAGCTGCAGGCAGAAAGTAGTAAGACACTGGTTCACTCTAAAAAGATTTTTTTGTTTTATTTATTTATTGCTTCTTTTTCTTTTTTGGTGACGATCGGATTGTAACTACTCTGTTCTTGTTGAACTTTTGCAGTTTTTTTTCATAATTTGAAAGAATTAAAAATTATAGCCTTTATGAATAAATATAACTCAGCTCTTTCTTACTAAATGCAATTGGGGAATAAATACAGTGAGTGTTCACACACACACACACACACACACACACACACACACAAGAAAGAGAGAAAAAAGAAAAAGGTGAAGAATAGAAAATTGTTTAAGTGGCCAAAGAAACTTTATCCTATTGAGCTGCAGGCCAAGCTATGCCAGCTATATGTAAATGTAAGCAGTGGCCTGTGTTCATGTGTCCACTTTGAAGTTGCCATCTGAATTTAATTCTGCCTTTGTGATTAAATCAGGCCATTACGTTTAATCTCACTTAATAGTAAGAAACGTCCTTTGTTGTTTTCTATAGGCAACATATTCTGCCCCTAACATATACAGCTTGGTATTCACACTTTACTATTAATCCCCGATGGCTGATAATTGCTTCATCTCCAAGCCCTCTGTCCAATTCACAAGGGGTTGATTGCAACTATTCTTCCCCTATACATTAATGCACTGTTTGGGTCTTGCTTCTTTGGCTCAGTGAACCCTATCAAGCTGTCCACATTTTCTGGGCATGTGGGTGTATTGTGAGATGTTAAATTAAATTCTGTGTTGACCTCCCTAAATGCCAGAATCTATTAGCCCCTGCAACATAGCTGATTGACAAGTGGGACTACTTTTCCACTCAAAATCCTGCAATAAGAAACAACAACAACAGGCTGAATATTTTGTTTCTAGGCAGAGTCTGGGGTCTTCTTACCGCTGTCTTGTTATTTACATGCTCATGACTATGGCAGGACCAATTGCCATAGTTGTTTCATTGATCTTCCATTTGTCTGCCTTATCATTTCTCTGGGAGAAACTATTAGACCTCTAGAGAATCACCATGCATTGCTTTAGCGTTTGAAATTATGTTCTCCTTTTTGGTTTTTTTCCGAAACTGTTTTGGATGATGAGTCTCAGGCCCTTCACTGTTATCTGTGACATGAATTGCTCAGGCATAGAGATCTTAGAGGCAAAATCCCAACTGGAAGAGCTTCCTTCCATCTTTGTTTTTTGCACCTAACGTAACAGATACAGCTAATTTTAATGTTGAGCTTTACAAAAGAAAAGAAGCTTTTCTTTCTCTTACCCATTCATTAGCTTGGCCAATAGTTACCAGGCTTTTCACTGTGCTAAATTAGGAACGCTATCACTATCAATTTGACTTTGTGCTTCCCAAAGCACTATTAGCTGCTCATGCCTAGTCCATATTAAGCACATATAGTACCTAGAGTGTGAATGATGGCCAGAGTCCATGCATAACTCCCTCCTCCTGCCAATAGCTTTGCCCAGCTTGCCACGATTTCAGCCTCCTGGCTGCTGGTGGGGTTCTTGGCAAATCCACATGGCTATTTTTTTTTTCTGATTTTAAAAGCAATCTCATAGAATAAATTTTATTTTTATATATTATATAACTGTAACATATGTACTATATAAGTACATAGGTAATAATTGTAGAAGAGTTTTCTTATATTTACCATAAAAAAATCTTAAAAGTTTGAAACAAGTAAAGAAAAAATAAAAATTGTTCTCAATCCCACAAATATAGCTGTGGTTATTATTTTGGTGTATTTTCTAGAATAGCTGTCTTCTGTAACATGTGAATAGACTGGCAATGTAGATAAAAATACTCACATAATTTTTTTGCATTTCCAAAGTGTTTTATTAAATTCAATGTTAAATAATTGAAGCCCTGAAAAATGTGTGCCCTAAAGTGAGTAAGTTCTCTTATTTCAAAAATAAACTTTTTATTTTGGAATAATTTTAAGTTTACAGTAAGGTTGCAAGAATAGTTCAGAGTTCCCCTATTCGCCTCACCCAGTTTTCCCTATTATTTTTTTTTTCAGTTTTCCCTATTATTAACAGCTTACATAACTACAATACATTTGCCACAACTAAGAAACACATTGTCAATTTATTATTAATAATTTTTTTTTGAGACGGAGTCTTGCCCTTGTCACCCAGGCTGAAGTGCAGTGGCACAATCTCAGCTCACTGAAACC